TGGTGGTAAGGAATCTTGCTTCGGTCCTAAACCTTCTAAGACTATACTGGTTTTTGGCTTAATGCTTGCTGGATCAGTGAGTGCTACGCAAGTTTTCCCATTGTGCTCTGACACTGAACTAGGTTCAGGCTCCTACAGGGACATTATATATGACTGATGTAAACACATACTTATTGTTGAGTTTATTGGTTACAGCTTTCAGTTTTAACTTACTCCTAGAAATATGTTGTCTGTCTTTAACATCATAAGTCTGGTCCTTCAAGCCTTACTAACAGTGCTGTGACTTCAGATTTAGTTATCTGAAATAGGATTTTACCTTAATCATTAAAATGAAGAGAGAAACTTTTTATCTTTATCTCTTTTGTAATTAAAAATCTCATCAATAAATTAAAAAAAATATCTGCTTTACTATTTGTTTGCCCTTGTGAACATCATCATAGAGCTCAAAGCTCCATCCAACCTGGCCTTGAACGCTTCCAGGGATAGGGCAGCCACAACTTCTCTGAGCAACCTGTGCCAGTGCCTTACCAGGACACGGCTGGTTTCTGGGCTGCAAGCGCACACTGCTGGCTCATGTTGAGCTTCTCATCAATCACCACCCCCAAGTCCTTCTCTGCAGGGCTGCTCTCAATCCATTCTCCGCCAAGCCTGTAGCTGTGCTTGGGATTGCCCCAACCCAGCTGCAGGACCTTGCTTTTGGCCTTGTTGAACTTCATGAAGTATGCACTGGCCCACCTCTCAAGCATGTTGAGGTTTCTCTGGTTCCTATGTAATAAAGTCCCTGTATAATAAAGCTACCAGCTACCAACTGATAATTCAGACAGCTAGACAGCTGTTACCACTGACTAAAGTGCTTGATATTGATTGAATAACCTGGAAAGAGGCTACTTGGTCCTTGGGAAAGAAACTGTTAGGGAGCAGCAGCCCCTGAAGCATTTGAGAAAACCTTGGCCTGCCTGCTGATTGCCTCTTAAGAACAGTGGATAGCAGTTGCTGGGCAAGGGCATCATGCCAGTTTGCTAGTAGTTAAACTGATGTTGCAGTGATGTGGTTTTGTGTCTCTTTTTTCTTTTACATTAGGTGGCTTACATGACAAAAAGTAAAATCTGTCTTCAGGACACTGCATATATTGGGCCAGGGCTTCTAGTTTTGGACCAGTACTTCAACAGTTTCATTGATGAATATATTGTTCTGTGGATAGCATTGGTAAGCATTTTGGTTTGTACTTTTCATTTGGAGCATACTTAAAGGAATGGATTGAGAACTGTCTCTGCCATTTCTGACTTGCTCAGATTTCAGCTGTTGCTGCAGAAGGAGTGGCAGGATACCATGTAAACATGTATTTTGGGAGCTGACTGGCTTCCTTGGAACAGAGATGTGAAAGTAAATCTACAGATATGTCTTGTAATTATGCTTTAGTCCAGGTGGTTTGTTTAAAGTTACTCTGCAAACTGCAGACTAAAATTAGTTTGTCAGACAGCACTTTGTATCGTGCTGGGGTTTTGGGGGGCTTGGGGCTTCATTTTTATTTTTTTTGTTTTTTCTTCTAAACTAAACTACCCTGTATCTTTATGTTAAAATGCTGTTAAACTTGTCATTTGGCTAGACTCTTGATTAAAGTACAGCTGAATTTATAGTAGGGACAATTTTAAAAAATAATTAGATTTATTTTTTTTAACCTGTTCTGTTTTGTTCTTTTGAAGTTCATATCCTTGTTTGATATGCTGAGATATGCCACTGGTGTATGCCTACAGATTGCTGCTCATCTTCATATACATGTCTTCAGAATTTCATCTCATCAAGCTCCTGAACAGGTTCAAAACCATAATGACTGATTAAATAGGTCAAGAACAAGAGAAGAATCAGTTAGGGGAATGCTGAATGAAGCAGCCTCTCTTTTTTTGGGGAAGAGATTAAGCTTTTCAAGAAAACAGTTTTATGAGAAAGCTCACTCTATCCCAGATGTTATCAGATGTTAGAGTTACTAAGTACAAAGTCCTGCAGATTCTATTGTGATTGGTACTTTTGAACCAGGATGTATTTTCCCCCTGTGTTTTAGACCACGAATACCACATTTGAAACTTTCGCCATTTCCTGCTAGGTAACCTTAATTTTGTATTTCTGGTCTGGTGAATGCAGGCTACAAACCAAGGTGCTACCAATCAGAATTCCAAGAGGAATTTAACTTTTCCCTAATCTTCTATTGTTAAAGTCTTCTTGGAACTGCTTTGAAGTGGTACTCAGAGGTATCAGTGAATACCACACTGCGTTATTAAGACTGGTAAATGAGGCATCTGTGAGGTAAAACTACTCATTAATCTCTGTTCCAGTATTTCTAAAGAAAGAGCTGCTGGATCAGTAGGATGAAGGAGGTATAGGCTCAGGAAAATTTTCTTCTATTTCAAAATCCTATGAAATACTATGAAGTTATGAGTGCCTTTAGGATCATGGATTCTCTAAGTATCTAAGTACATAACCTACATTACTAAAGATACTTTTAGCTTGTGTTTTCTTTCAAGGCCAGTTTCTGGTTTTGTGGTCACAGTAAGGTTTGCCTCATTGTACTCCATCATTATCTAGACTATAGGTAGTTCTGTACTTTGAGGGCACTTACTTTACCTACCTTAACCTGCATCTGAAACTATACAAGTGAATGACCAAGTTCATTGATAAATGACTGTGACAATGCAACCCACCCATATGTAACTCCCTCTGAAGTATATTTGCTATTGCTGTGTTCATCTATCTTATAACCTGTTCTGTAGGTGTCACTGTACATTATCCAAACAGAACTGCACAGAGCTAAACCCTAATTTACAGTAAAACTCTCCAAAACAGGAAGTCAGGCCCACTATCAGCCTTTCTGTTTCCTTAAGAACAGACCCACTGGCTAACATAATGTGCCTAGCTAAAGGGCTGCTGTTGGCATTAGCAAAAAGCTGAGTGAAAGTAGCTTATCACCTGCACGAGCAAATCATGACTTGCACGCAAACCCTATAAGCTTAAGCACCTTTAAAGAGGTACGTTTTGAATATGATTTTTGTAAAAAGCTGTTGAATGTGTCTGCTACCACTTTCAGTTGCTGATATGTAGCTGAGCTGTGAGTTCATAAAGTCCTTCCTGAACTGTACAATAGAGTGCTATGGTTTGTTTTAAAAGTATTACCACTGCAGCTTCCTAGCTGCACAAAAAGACTTCCTGAGGTGTTCAAGGAACTTTAAAAGTGGTGTATTGTCTGCTAAATTTGGAGGGAATAAAATATTGTATACCAAACTCCTGCCTGAGAAGGATATGCTGATAGACTTGAGGGGTAACTATAACCATTAATGCTAAAGGACCAGTACTCCAAGTGACTAATATCAGTTCCAGATGAATCCTACTACTCCTGTTTGAGGCTGCGAAAGACAGAGAATCTATACATGAACTTAGCCTGAACCCAGCCCATGGGGAAATAGAAGAGAAGATGGTAAAGACCAGTTCAGTTTGTCTGAATACTGTAAACAAATTAACCACCTAAGGAAAATATATAGGCAAGTTTTTTAGAGTGAGAAGTTTTGGGTCTCCAGAATGCTCAAAAATGCCATGAAGTAGTAGGTGTAAGTTTTAAGGATATGATTGAAGTATGTGGATGATAGGAAACTAATGCAGAAATCGGTCAGAAAACCAGAAACATGAGGCAACACTAACAAACAACCTAGCACTGAGGACAGGAAGCAGAAAATTTTAGCTGTTATTTCACAGCATCATCTAGTTATCCTTAGAGGGCTGAGACTCAGCAGCATTGTTACAAAGCAGCATAGTTACCTGTTACTTACCAGAGGCCCATATTACCTCATACACCCTTCTAGCAATGTAACTTCTGTGTTTGTTCCTTCCCTGAGTCCTAGCAGACACAGAACAAAGAGAGCTCCATACTAGCTGCTTGTTCAACTTCAGTTTCAACCTAATAGCTGAAGTTAGTAAGTAAATTAGCCATCACTAATCTGGCTCCCAGAACTGGAGAACCATCATGAAATGGCTTGATTCTGAACTAAAAATACTAGAAGAATCTGCATGGACTGGTTTTGAAATACATTGTTACAAAAACATCACATTTGTACGTGTGAGTGTGTGGATGGTTTCTGTTTTATCTACTACTGTATTAAGTCTAAGCATTAAATATGTTAGGAACTACCTAATTTGTAAAGGTGGATATTTGGGCATAATGGGTTTCTGTAAAAACAAACTGCATGCAAGCTAAGCTTTAATTTATACTGATCTACTGTAATGAGCTACATTGAAAGATAAATGCTTTATCCTTAAAACTTAGGCCTCCCTAAACTGCTAGTCATTTGGAATTGCAAGAAGTAATATTCCATCTCAAAGGCTTGTAATAACTTATGCTAACCAAGTGAGCTGGATTACTTCTAGTGGTGGTTCTAGAAGAACTATACACCCCAAAATGCACAATGTTTAATTATGCTTTCTTGAGCAGATGTCATATAAAGCTGTGATACTCAGTTTGTCATTCAACTGAAGAAACCTGCTCTTGAGTCAAATTACAGCAGTTCCTAAATCCCTTACTAGTACAAAGATATTACAATGCCTAGTCTAACAAAAGAGTTAACAATTTACTTTAATTTACCATAATACACATCATTGAACAATTTTACATGAGCTACATCATACTCTGTGAACATTTATAACTGCTAATATGTCAGCAGACTAAATTTTGAACCTATGAAAATCTTGAAGTCTGCAGCTTGTGAAAAATGCTGCTATTTGTACAATGTACTTAAAGGCCTAAAGTTATTACTTAAAACCTGGGTAATGCATTTTTCATTAATTCTGCCTATCGTTACAATTTGGCATTATAAAAAGTGAAACAGTTGAAACTCTTCAGTGCTATTGAAAGTGAGTATTCATCAGTTAAAGATTAATTGGACAGACAGTAAATAGTTTGGGGTGCATACCGTGCTCTCCGCCCGCCAAGTAATAGATTTACTAATACAATTATTTATAACATTATCAGACACAAGATTAGAACAATCCATGAAAGCATTTAATAGAAACTTTAAAACATTTAAATCTTAACATATTTCTCTATGGCTAATGCCTATACTTGTATCATGTTACTTAGGTACAAGTTGTTTCTCCATTGAGCCATCAGAATAACATGGACTGAAGAGACTTGCGAACAGTTGCCATCTCCTGCTGTTGCTGTTACAAGAAAAGGAGATAATACTGAACAAATGCCATATCAATATGATTCCTTTGAGCCAATTAAAAGAATGTCAAATGACTTTTTATAGAATGTTCTATTTTTGCATTTAACTAACTTCTTCATAGATCTGGTACTTACAGTATCCATCATAATCTTCTTCTGCAACATAGCCATTTCTTTACGGAGTTCATTTTGTGCACCAACTAGAAGATTTTCATTGCTCTTCTCCAGCTCTTCCATGCTCTGAAGTTAAGGATAGTCTTAATTCAAAACTCTTCAATGTCAAAGGGTTAATTTCAAACAAATAAACCATTATTCAGATTACAGTTCCATTTTTTACAGCTGCAGTGGTCACTGATAATTGAGTAGTTTTGTCATGAACTTGACAGACAAATCATACAGGATTTTGTATTCCCATCTACCTTCCTGTTTAAACAATATGGACCCTGTAAAGGAAATGGTCCTCTCCGCTGAGCATCTGTGAGGTCTCAGCTAGTCATCATGCATTTCAATAAAGATAAGAGTTTTACAAGGAAAGATGAAGCAGACATCAGTCAGGAATGACAGAGGTTTGGTATTATGACAGCCTTGGATACTTGAAGTAAGGACTGCAAAACCCATTAAATTTCCATCTCTGCACACTTTTCCCCAAATAACCAAGTAAAGGCCACTGGTTATCTTCCCCTCTGTACATACAGTTATGCCTAACTCCGTGTATATGTGTAGTTGCATTTTCCTTGACTTGTATTTAGTTAAGCTTATTTTAGGCTTGAATTTTACCTTTTGATCTTCTTTGAAGAATCAAAGTAATAGTTGACCTTCTGTTCATTTTTAAATCTTTGCTGAAGATGTTTTTGACATTTTGAGAGTTATAATTTATTAATGTTTCTGTAATATCCTCTGTACACTTCAACTGTCTTAAACTAAGAGCTGTTCTATTTCAGATATATTATTATAAGCCACCCAACTTGGAAAAAACCCAAACATATTTATCATAACTAACTGAAATTTCAAAAAGGGGCCAGTTAGGAAATTACTTGAACAGAAGTTAAGGCTTGTCAGAAACTGGTAGACTTGAATCTGCCCCATGTATCTACTGGAGTCCACCCAGCTGGA